CAGGTAGGAGTCATCCTCAAAGCTGGGGAAGAAAATGAATCAGGCTTTCCCTAATCTTCACCTGCCTTCTGATTCTGTGTTGTGCAATTACATTTATACATGCAAAGGATACCATTAAGCAGTCAATGAAATTAAATACACTGACCATTAGAATGGATTAATTTCTTTCCATATTTATTTATTTTAGAAAAAAATGCAAGTTAAGAAAACAAACTGCTTCTTCCTCACATTAATAATAACTGGCATTTATAGAGCATTTACAGGTTTCCTATGCCCTTTACCTGCATTACCTCATTTCAGACTCTCAACAGTTCTGGTGAGATAGGTACTGCCATTACTATAATTATTTCTATCTCACAGGTGAGATATCTTAGGCTGAAAGAGATTAAGTGATTTGCACAAAGTCACAGAGGGAGTAAAATGGGATTTAAATTCAGATCTTCCTGACCCCAAACACATTACCTTATTTACTATTGCCTTTATCTATTACTTGGGCAGCTAGGTGGTGCAGTGGATAAAGTGCCAGGCCTGTAGTCAGGAAGACTCATCTTCTTGAGTTCAAATCTAGCCTTAGACACTTGTGAACTCGTGTGACCCTGGGCAAGTCACCTAATCCTGTTTGCCTCAGTTTTCTCATCTGTAAAATGGGTTGGAGAAGGAAATGGGCAACACTCCAGTATCTCTGCCAAGAAAACCCCAAAATAGGGTCAGAGAGTCAGAAATGACTGAAAACAACTGGACAAGAACAACGGCCTACCACTTGCCTTGCTCAAACATTCCATGACTCTGTTACTGCAGTAGATTAACGCAGGGTATTCCATCTCAAAAGATACATTCATATCAGGTCTGTGTTCATCAATCTAGTTCAAATCTATTTGATAAATTTAAGATCCTCCCTCTCCCCCACCTAACACATATTTGGAGATACACTGCTTCTTACTATTTTTGGAAGAAATGATACTTCAGAGAAAATACAAATTTTAATCATCCTAGATTTGTCTTTCAATAACATATTTATGCCCTTTATCTGGCCTCTAGAAAAATATGATGTTGTTAGATCACATTTCCTTAGATATATACAAATTAGGCACATCATACAATGAGTTAGGAATTACTTTCCTAATGTTTCACAATAGCTAGAATTAATTGAAATCCTTTAGGGTAAAAGAGGCCGGAAGTATGTGGTGTTCATGGTATAGTAGGGAATAATTAGATCTGTAGTGAGGAGATACTCCCAATTAAATCTTTATGGGAAAATGATTTTAAAATTGGCTTTGAGGAAATTGAATGGGAACAGATCATAGGCATAATGTAACACTCAGTGCATGGTATTAAGAAATATATTTTACATCTGTGACTAGAATCTGTTATCTCTCATAAAGTCAGGATGTAATTCAGGTAATAAATTAAAGATTTCAGATCCAGTACCAGGTTCAGAAGGAGGAAGCTGGACAATCTATCCTTAGCCCAGTGTATGCAGTGATTTGTAGGACATTCAGTTGGTGCTTTTCTTTTAAGTGGCAATCTTTTGCTTAAGGCTTTGTCTAGATCTGTAATTTCATCAATTTACAGTGGTCTTGATGAAGACAGTCTCAAAGATGTCGGGCCCCATTCTACTACTCACAGTATTACAGAAGTATGTAGGGTACTGAGTGGTTCAGTGACTTACCCAGAGACCCCCACAGAGGCCAGACTCAACCCCAGGCTGACCTGATTCCACATTGTCTTTCTCTCTCTTAAGACTTGGGAGATAAATAGATCATAGACTGCATTGTGATCTCCTAGATGCCACATAACACACAGGTTGACTTAATTAGACACATCCCTATTTACCAGGTTATGAAATTCATCAGTGAAGTGACCCCATTGTGTGAGAGAACAACTATTTCATTTCATGTTTTTATTTATTGGAAATGATGGCTGATACCAGGTGATATTCATCTCAGCTTCTTGCTGCTTGGTTTGTAAATTTTGTTAGCAGGAATGCTCTTGTACTTCATCTACTCTTAAGTATTGTATCTGTTTGTGCTGTAGGTGATACAGAAATCGAGTATACACCCAAATGTTTTCTAATCGGTTAATTTGTTTGGATGGTCTACAACCTTCTCTACTGCCTTACGGTGTATAACCCTTTGACTAAATGTACATAGCTACCAGTTCTTTCTGTTTTACAGAAATAAATGTCAAATTGCTTCATAAGCAGAGTCACATCTCTTCAGAGCTGGAGGAGACATTCAGGCTGATCTCATCCAAATCCTTTCTTTTAGAGATGAGAAAACTAAGATGGAGAGGTTAAGTAATTTGCTCAAGGCTACCCAAACAGTCTGAAGATTTAGAGCTGGAAGGGACCTTAGAGGTCATTAGAGGTCATCAGGGCTTCCAATTGAATGATGAAGTGAATTGCCCAAGGTCATAGAAGTATTAAGTGAAACAGCAAGGAATCAACCTTAAATGCTCTGACTTCAAGTGGAGCACTCTTTCTACAACACCACAGTGTCTACACCGGAGGAGGAACTAGTGTAGGGAGCTCAAGATTTTGTCCCAGATGCTGATGTCACAGGGAGTGGTTTCCTCCCTCCTGAGTGAGGTATACTTTCCCCCCACAGTAACCATGGTCCCCACACAAGTCCTCATGGTCTCCTTCTAGCCTTTAGCTTTGTACACTGAGATTACTCCCAGGCTGATTTTGACAGGGTTCTATTGCCTCATGGGGAATTCAAGGTCCTCCATCTCCCTTCCAGCTGAATTTTCCCTTGAATTTTCTTGGTATAAGAATTCTAACCCTGCATGGCACCATCAAGATCCAGAAACTTGGTGTCCTAACTCCCAGTTTCAAATATCTTCCATTACTCAAAATCTCCAGTTTGTAGTTTATTAATCCATAGACATGACCTCCCTTTGAATGGTAGAATATATATTAAAACACTAAAAAAAAAAAGTTTAATTCTCCGCCATTTGTACTCAATCTGAGGTGCAGCTTTAAATGTTTTTCCTGGATCCTTATTGGCATTCAATTATCTTGTGGAAGGATGATGGCCTCCAGGTTTTTTGCCATCATATTCCAATTATAATTTACATAGTGCTTCTCATGATTGGCAAGAAGGAAGCAGCGGTATTATTCACATGCAGAGAGTCAACCCCGTCATGAGTAAGCTATTATGTAGAAAAGGAAGCATTTTAAGCAAATTGATTTTCAGTGGAGAGCTTTAGCCCAAAACAACTGCTTTGTGCTGAAGCCAGGATCAATAGTTCTAAGCAAAGCCAAAATTGAATCATGTCACGGCTCCAATTTCATGATAGTTTTAATGTAAGATAAATAATAAACTTGCTTTGAAATCTTTCTTGCTGTATGCCCTCATTTCAATACGAATCAGTATGTATTTCATTACCCAGCTAGCTGTTGACATGGGAGCCAGATGCTGAATTTTCAGTGAAACAGGCATAGGGAGGGCATGTCAGATTGAGGCGGGATATGTGGCATACCTTGTCATCCCTTGAACTAAAACACTGGTAGAACTCAACTCTATTATGCTAATTTGGCCCTGGGATTGTGGATGGCATGTGGATAAGGGGAACTCAAGAAAACTTCCTGCCACTGGAGAGGAGCTAGATGTAAAGAAGTGTGCTCTGGGTAACAACACTGTGATTTTAAAGAGCAGTTCTACACACAAAATACATTGGAAAATTGGAAATATTAGTCCACTAAACCAAGCCAAAAGAGATACTTTGGGCCCAGTAATTTGGGTAAAAGCATAAGAACAGATTATATCACATAGATCAAATAATTTTCTCATTTCACTATTCCAGTCCCCAAACCATTTATCTATTATGCGCCCACTGTGTGTCACATACTATGCTATTGGCTAAAGATGCAAAAACAAAAAGAAAAACAAAACAAGTCCCTTCTCTGAAAGAGCTAACATTTACTCTCCTAGTGTTAAGCCACTTCCATGAGCATATCTAAGTAAGAAATTTGTATGTGTTATAACTTAAACATAAATGTTTCCCTACATATTTATATATGCATATATGCATGTATATACATGCAAGTATATACGTATGTGTTTATATATACACATACATACATATATATGTATTTATATCACATATTTGTTTGGATTTGAAAAAGTCTTTTTGACTAGTTTTTCTAAACATGTATTTCAATTTCTAACAGAATGAGTGAATCAAGTTCTAGACACATATTATTATGGTTAATTGTTCTCTCTCTCTCTCTTTCTCCATCTCTCTATACACATACACAGACACGCACACACCTATAATAAATATTGGTTACCAGGAACATAAATTTAATAGGAATTTGGGACTAAATAAAACTCAATGATTGTCACTCTAATGTGCAATGCTTGACAATGTTAAATTAATAATCAGCTACTTAAATCCAAGACTAAAATTACCCTATGGTTTGTTGGTCAATATATAGATAGTGCCAAGTGATGACAAGGGCTTTGATTTTTTGAAACAGTTACTATTTTGATACAAATTATAACTCACATTTTTGGGGAAATAATAATTTCCAAATTTATATAAATAGCTTTGCAAATGGGAGATAGGCTGAATGATTAAGACCTCTTTCACATAAGGTAATACATGTATATTCCCTATGTAGGAATCCAGAGACAACATCTTCCCTTTTAGGGTTGCCTTGCTTAACAAGCCTTCCCTCATGCTTACAGATCTGTAACCACCACTTGGTTACAGGATCCTAGGAATACCTGGGTTGTATGGGAGATTCAATCCCACTTCTCACTGTAGTTTCTAAGCCCCCATCTGTGTGATTCCCATTTATAAAAAATTAACTGCATTAGATCATAAACATGAAACATTTAGTAAACGCTAAGGCAAAAACAGTAGTAATTTCATATATAGAACGTAAAACTAATATAGCAATAGTATTTTCATCACAGTCTACGAATACACTTGGATCATAGTCTCCCACCAATACATGCAGTACCTATGAGGGAAAGTAGGAACATACTTACAGAAACCCAGTGGGGATACACATGAATGTGGAAAACCATGTGCTTGAGGAAACTCACAACTCTGAACTGTAGTCCTTGATGTCCTCGGTCTCCTTAGAAATAACATGCCTCAGAAAAATCTTCTCTGATGGTTGTTCCCCTTCTGACCCTTACTGCTCTCTTGCTGTGCAAAACAGTTCCTCTTCTACTCTCAAACTGATGAAACCATGGAAAGTTGTTTTTAATTTACCATCTCCCTTCAAAGTACAATGAGCTAATACACCATAGCAGTGAAAAGGTCAAACATTTGAGCCATAGAATTGCAAAGCTTCTCAAATTATCTCTCTAGTTAATACAAGCTAGCCCAGCAAACTTCATTCACTAGGATTTTTTTTTATTTTCCAATTTTTTTTCAATCCAGCTTACAGAAGAATAGAAATCCCAGCAAACCTCTTTGGAATGGTTCTCCAGGCAATGCAAACTAAGCCCACTCAACAGGATGCTGTACATTCCAACTGTTGTGCAGTCCTGTCCAACCTTTCATGAACCTCTACAGGATTTTCTTGGCAAAGATATGGGAATAGTTTACCATTTCTTACTCCAATGGATTAGGCAACCAAGGTTAAGTGATTTGCCTAGGATTAAACAGCTACTGAGTGTCTGAAGCCATATTGAACTCGGGTCTTCTCAACTCCAAGCCTGGCACTCTTTCCACTGAGCCACCTGATTGTCTCCAATTAGTTACCATATACTTAATAGCAAAGCAGCTTCTAAACCTCTCTTTTCCTTCTGCTTTTCCCTCTAAAATCAGAAGGGGTAGCAGAGAGCCAACAGGTATCTTTGAGAGATTTTTACCTATATCAAACTGTATGTGGTAGGTAGAGGGCAATAATTGAAACTGAAGGAGATCTCATCCCTCTCCCAATAAGGCAGGATACCAGCCTTTACTCCAGGCAATCGGCAAATCAATGCTGTCCTTCCAATAACCTTGCTTCATGTTCAGCAGCTGAAGTCTTACAGTCAGCTGATTGCTCCTGCTGGTCTCTTCATACTCAGCTCCTGCTGCATTCTTAACTCACCTCTTTCTGAGCTCTTCGCTAGCTCCAATAATTCAAATCAAAGCCTTCTGGTTCATTCCCTTATGAGGTAAAACTCACAAAATCTAACTTTCCTTCAGTTATGAAACCTAGTCCTTATTTAATCTTCTCAGTGTCCAGAAAATTATTTGATTGACCACTTTGTAAGTTTTGATCTCTCAAGCTCTAAAAAAACTTTGAATACAAGTACACTACAACCTCAATAATTTCTCTATGCCCAACAGGTCCTCTCAGTCCATTTATTTGAGCGGTAATTCTCTATCAACTCCCAACAATCTTTGTTCTTGCATCTTAGTGGCAATATTATTTCTTTACACATGGATTTTATCCTTTTTTAAGTGAAGTTCTTCTTTTATGAATCCCCCCACTTTACCACTCAAAATATTCTCATACAAAAGGGTGTTTACTTTATGTCCCTCATAAGCTGCTTTCCTCTTTATCCAAACATTTATTTTCTACTCCTTTCACATCTTGTATCTGAAAGAGGCAGTCCTTAACACAAGTTTTCCAAGTTTTTCTGAATTCATAATATTCCTCATTTATTATGGCATAATAGTTTTGTATTGCATTTTTATACCAAAATTTGTTTAACTGTTCTTCTGACTGATAACTTCTTTCCTTCCAGTTCTTTGCTGCTACAAGTATGTTTGGGACCTTTCTTTCTCTATTTGACTTCCTTAGAGTATATACCTACTAAAATATCACTGGATCAAAGGGAGTATAAAATTTAGTGACTTTTTAGTATAATTCCAAATTATTTTTCAGAACTATTCAACTAATTCACAAATACATTAATGATCCCAACTTCGTACAGCCCCACCAAAATTTGTCATTTTTGCGTTTTTCCATCTTTGCCAATATGAGACGTATAAGGTTAAAAACCCTAACTTGTTTTAATCTGCATTTTTTTCGTTATTATTAGTGACCTAGAAAATCCTTTCAAATAGTTGTTGGCAGCCTGAATTTCATTGATTTGTTTTAATTCTTAATTTAAACATAAAAAACAGCCACTTTTTTCATACACACAACAGAACACAATGAATCCCCTTTCAAAACAAACAAAAAAAATTCCTTAATATTAGAACCATCCAAAAGGAACTGCCTTGAGAGATTGGGAGTCTCTCTTCTTTGGAGGTTTAGTTTAAAGCAGAACTTGAATGATATTAATCAGTTCTGTTATAGCAAGGGGATTCCTCCTTTTGTATGGGCTGCACTGGTTGGCTAGTGGGGTCCCTTTCAATTCCCTTAACTTAACAGGGGAAACAAAAAAAATAATAGAATAATGAGAAGTTCTAAGGATTTTAAAGTGAAACAACTTGAGTCACTTTCTCAAGGGCATAGAGTGTCAGTGGGAGGATTTGAATCATACTCCCATGATTCTAGGATCAGTTATATTTCCCCAGTACTACACTGCCTCCTTATGGGGGAAGGGATGGTGTCCATGCTGCTTGTCCTGCTGACTGAACAAGTGTCAGAAAAAATATTGCTGGCCCCTAACCTATCCTAAAGACACTTCCTGAAGAGCAAACAGCAGTGTTTTTTTCAGGATGAGGGAGAATTTTTTTCAAGGACTTATATATTTCCTGCTCATGTCCTTGGTTTTTCTCTGGGTTCCTACTATGAAAATCACCCCAGCAGAAGCTTACATCCCAGTGCTTCTCCAAAGGGTTAATACAATGGCTCCACTGTGTCAGGGATTGCTGTCTTCAGGATATCAGAGGGGTATCTATTTTCTAATCAACAGAGAGAAATTTAAGCTGGATAAATCCTATTAATGCTGATGGGAGTTACATGCATTAATCTCTGATACAGGCTGTGATGGGGGTGGAGAGGCAGGACTCCAGGGCAGAAGCAGATCTCTCAGGCTAATATTTGGTGGAGCAAATATATGAAAAAAATTGCATATTTTTTTAGATAACTTTTTTTTTAAAACTCCAACGTCCTTTTTTTAATGTGGTTCAGAAGAACCTCCTGTGGCCAATTGTGGGTTGAAGATAATTAGCCTTTAATTATCACCAGTTACATTTTCACCTGTTTCACTTGCAAATCCCCAGAACTTCTAGTTTTTCCAATTAGCTTCTTATATCCCAACAATGGAGCGTGGGGAAGTAGCCTTTCCCTTTGGGAACTAACCCTTTATCCACTAACCTTTCCAGCTTTATTTCAACTCATGCTAGGATACCCTTGAGAGGATCAACTTGGTACTTATACACACATGTGTATACACACATATACATATATACACATCTAGGTATGCGATAGTTATCTAGGATGTAGTAGATCAAATGTATACTGTCAACGGAGGAGATGATCCAGGTGTGGATGGTCATCTCTGGAGAAAGACAATAAAAAGAAAGAAGGATGGAATTAAACTCACTCAAATCAGTAAGATCCATCTTTGGAGCTGAAAGAAAAGATTTCTGTTTTTCCTTCTTGTTTACTAAGATTTAGAGCTAGAAGTGGCCCAAAGGATTTAGTACAAGCCCTCTATTTTACAGTTGAGGAAACTGAGGCCTGGAGAGGTCAAGCAACTTGTCTTTTATCATGCAAATAATACAGAATGGGGCCAGGATTTGAATGGAGGTTCCCTGGTGCCAAATCCAGCACTCTTTCCATTTTTCCTTGTTATATATGGATAAACGACAAATGCCACACTTCTAGAGTGGAATGAGATTTCTGTCTTAGATAAGGTTATTGTACTTTGCTTGTGTACTTTTGGTTTTGTTTGTAATCCCCTGTCAGGGTACTGTAACTTTCTCATTCTAGCAAGACACAGAAAGACTGGCAGCTAATCCTACCTCTAAGAAAGCTAACTATTTGTGAAAATTCCTCCTGAGAAATGTAAAAAAAAAATAATCAGGAGTCAGGTGAAAAATCCCACTTCAGAGAGGAGCAGTGAGAGGAGGGCAACAGAGAAGATAAGCTTAAAATGAGTCACTCCCCAGCTCAATTAAAGAGCAAAGCCCAAGGGGGAAAGAAAGGGGAAAAAATCAACTATGGTGAATCTCCAACTGCAAACCTTTTCTGATTCTTCTCTGTACATCAAGTCCTAAGCACAGCCTGGAAAAACTGTTCTAGAATGGTGGGCAATATGGTTCTGGGAAAACACACTCATTAGGATGCAAATCATTTAGCAGGATGCAAATGACTTAACAATAGCATGTTCCAGGTTCCCAGAGTAAATAATTTCCATTTCCATTATAGCATATGAAGCAAGTACTCATAAATCGTCCTTGAAAATTACAGTAGTGACTTAGGACACTTTGACCTGAGGACACATTTTCTCTCATCCAGTCTCACTTAAAGCAGGTAAATAGAAGGGAGTGGGACTTTCATATTGCTAGGGAAGAAATTAAGGACAGAGGACATTAAGTAATAGGCCTATGTACCACATCTAGGAGTAAAACTCAGGTGTTCCAAGCCAGAGGCTTCTTGCCATCTTACTTCCTGACTTTTTATATGTGACCTACTCAAAAGGGAAGGGCTAGGAGTCAGAGAGTAGGGCATGGGGGAATTGATAATATGTGAGACCTGGCTTCTAACTCTGCCCCTGATAACAGCAAGTTGTGTAACCCTGGGAAAGTCATTTGAATGCTCTGAGTCTTTGTTTCCTCATTTGTATAATGGAGTGGGAAGGGAGGAGTAAAGGAAGGAAAGAAGGAAGGAAAGAAAAAAGAAAGGAAGGTCGCAGAGAGAAAGGAAAGGAAAACAAAGCAAAAGAAAGCAAAGGAAGGGAGTGAAAGGAAGGAAGGGAAATAAAGGGAGAAAGAAAGAAAAGAAGAAAAAGAAAGAAATTATTAAAACTGTGTGACAAGCACTGTGCTAAATGCTACAGCCAGAGAAAAAAGTGAAAAAAAGGCCCTGTCTCAAGGAGTTTACATTTTAATGTGGGAGAGAACACATACAAGATGGTCCAGCTACAGGACAGGTGGAAAGGTCCAGGGTTGTTAGGGTACAGAGACAAGGGAAATGATAAAACATCTTTAGTGTCATTTCCATTGATAAAACAACTCACATTTCAGATATTTAGATACTTGAATTTGTCAAGGATACTGGTGATGAGAACTTTGTTTTCT